TGTAATCGAGTCGCTCTTCTTATGCTTTCAAAATAATATTTGTTATATATTAATGAATATTTAGCAAATAAACTTTAAATATATTGTTTTATAATCAACTTTTGTAAATTAGTAGTTTTAATATTTCTCCATCATGTTGATAGCAATGTTTTCTTTCCCTCACTAAATCCATTTAGTGACACAATCTTCTTTTGTCTATATGTCCCTTTTTTTTTTTTTTTTTAAATGGCTTGGTTCATAATTGAAGACTATTTTAAAATCCCTATGGGAAAATTAATGAAAAATTATTCTGGAAGCAGTGCCACTTAAAAAAAAAGCCGCACTTTACTGTTATGCCATGGTCTGTCTAAATCCTCAATTCTGATTGGCTAGAAGCTGTGCAATAAAACTGTTTAATGCACAGGTAGTCCCAAGTGAATTTAAACACCATTTTAACGCACCTTTAATGCACTGCTTTCATTAGACGTGTTTCCACTGTCGGGCCAGTGCGAGCTAGGGCTTTAAACGACCCTTGCTGGGCTAATAGCCTTGGACCTGTGGACTCTGTGTTTTCAGAGCAAGGATATCTTGCAAAAAAATGTCACTTTTTTTAAGTGCATTTTCATGCAATTTATAATTTGAAATTTCTGTTGGCCGAAACTTGATTATTTTTGTGTCTGTCTGATGTATTGTTTATATTTTCAGCAAATTAAAAATGATAAATGACAGATTTTGTGTTATTGCTATTTTTTTTTCTTCAGTGTCAGCGATGCACAAGCAGCCAGCACTGGTGCTTCCTGGATCTGTTCAGATGAGGATCAAGAGTTCTCAGAACAATACTGTAGAGAGACTCAGCCAGACAAAGTCTATGGTCTTACCAGATCCTGACACACTACAGAAACCCGTGAGCATGAGCGCAACCACACGGCCCAAGACCAGTTCGATGATTTTATCCTCTCTGTCTATCTATGTCGCATGAGTGTGTGTAACTTCATGCACCATGTTATGAGCAGCTTCCTGTTGCGTTGGCTGTTTTTAGAAACACAGAACAGCAGAGGGCAGGCCAGCACTGCTGCACAGCGTTTTGGAAATTGTGCCATTTTCATCAAACTAAAGCTAACACAAAACATCAAATAAGTAGCTTAATAATATGCTTTCTTGTTACTATAATAATCATTTTGTGTGGTAGTATGTACATTTTTATGATTTAAAAAAACCCCACTAAATTTTAATTTTAATCAGAATTATGATTGAAAAGAAATATGGATGGAATTAAATTCAATATTAGATGTTACATAGAAATATGTAACATGCATGTAGAATAAAATTTCGTGCAGTGACTGACTGTATATTACTCAAAAAAAAAAATAATAATAATAACAATAAAAAATAAAATTATTATTAATTTTAAAGTAAATTACAAAATATTTCTGGCCGTATCATGGTCCATAATTTCATTCAGGCAACGCATGTTCTTTGTTTAGATCAAACCGTCACCGGAGAAACCAGTCTCAGGATAACATTGATGGTTCTGTGGGCTGCAGTATGATGTACCTCCTCCACTACCACCATCGTATAAATAATAATAAAAATTATTATTATATTATTTTTTTTTAATGTGGGAGCCAAAAGAGCCTGCAATAAATGATTTACACTCACAAAAGATAATAAAGGATTTTTGAAGAATGGAAATCTGAGCTGAATAAACAGAGTTTAGTGTCATCACACACGAAATGGGAATCATGGTTTCAAAACTTTTTTTTTTTATTGCAGCAAATTATCCAAAAAAGTACATTAAAATGCAGCAGCCAATAAGCTATTATTGTATTTTGTATATTCTGAAATATTGTGGAATATATATTTTTTGTGTTTCTGTTCTGTACAGACTGTTTTAAAAGGAGAATATTTAAACAAAGCCAAAATTGCTGAAGGAGGAAAGAAATTACGGTATCTATCTATCTATCTATCTATCTATCTATCTATCTATCTATCTATCTATCTATCTATCTATCTATCTATCTATCTATCTATCTATCTATCTATCTATCTATCTATCTATCTATCTAGTTTGGTCACACTTTATTTTCGGCAACACATATTCACTCTTCATTACAAGTTTTACGTCAAACTCCTATTTTACTGCTTATTACTAGCTAGTAAGGTAGTTTTGTTGTGGTTAAGTTTATGTATTGGGTAGGATTAAGGGATGTAAAAATGGCCATGCAGAAAAAGGCATTAATGTGCTTTATAAGTAATTAAAACAGCCAATATGCTAGTAAAATGCAAGCTAATAAGCCACTAAGTTTGGTGACAAATTTTCCACTATTAACTGGAGTGCTACAGTGAGTTTAATTTGTAAAAACCTCAATTATTTTCACAGAAAAACTGGACTTCAACCTGGTTGTTCTCTGCTCCAATCAACTATTATTCTATAAAGAGAGCAAACAAGAAGCTGTTGCAAATTTGGTAAGACCACGGTTACATATTGCAAAAACCCACTGCACCTGTATTTAGGGTGAAAAAAACAATGAACAAATGTTTATGTCAAATGATAAATAAAATAAATACTTGAATAATATATAAAATCAGGAAAATAAAACAATTTAATGAGAAGCTATACAGAGCAGCATAACTGTTAGCATCTGGGTGGGGATTCGGAAACATAACGATTTCCATATTTGTCTCAATTCTTAACTTTGCTTTGATGCCGAATATTTAATACATTGCTGAAAAAGGAAACACTTATCAAGCACGGGGACATCATGCACAGGACTTTACAGCCATATTATTATTCTGCTGATTTGAGCAGCATGTTGCAGTGATGGAGAAAATGAGGTAGAGAAGAATAGAGGTTTACTACCTTCACATGCTTGTCATGCATGTAAATGGTATGTCGAGGCCATCGATGGGGTCAACTCATATTAGTTTCAACATCACTCATGGTCAAGTGGCCATAAAGCCCCCGAGCTCTCTGCCATTTCTTAGGGCGGTACGTACAGAGGTTATCAGGATGAAGTTAAGTATTTTTGCCACCTCATTAAAACCGTAGGACTGTAAGAAATGCCTCTTTACATAGCTTAAAAGCCTGACATGGAGCTTTTTTTATCTATTATTTTAATACAAAGCATGTTTGATTTAATAGGCAATCTTTCTTGTATCAAAACGTTGTGTTTGTAAATTGTTTATTATTTCACAAAGTCACGTAAGACATGATAAACGTGGTGTTTCTATTAGTATTTGGCAAACATGTTAATGTAATTTGTACTTTCTCCACAGAAACCAGGTGGTAAAGCAGATGGTGTGGATCTGTGTGGGGCTCTTATCGAGTGGACAACAGAGAAATCCAGTCGAAAGAACGTGATTCAGGTAGGACAGTCCAACACATTGAGCCAAAGTTCATTCTTTCATCCATTTATATCATGCGTTAAAACAGGAAAAACTTAGTAAACAGTAGTTGATTGTTAGTTATTATGAACTGATAATGCACTTGGTAATTTCAACATTTACTAATACATTATTAATATCAAATGTTGTGTTTGTTAATATTAGATAATGCACTGTGAAGTAACACGAAGAAACCATGAACAGCTGAACAGCAGCTTTTACAAAGATGAACAAAGCTCAAGGTTAACTAACATACAATAACTTATGTTAACAAATGAGAGTTTATTGTAAAGTGTTACTGGCAAAACTATTCAAAAAATTGCATTGTAATCGCTATAGCTTTATAATACAGATGCGTATTATCTAGTAAATATTAATAGTGAAGATTTGCCAGAAGTGCCATCGGTCTTGATCTTGTGTCACAAGGTCTCACTTCTAATAACAACTTGGGCTTCATCTTTTATAATCTATCCTTCCCTTTTCGGCTCAAACTTTGTAAGATCACAGCTTAACCAAACTGCTCAATACATGTATGAAGTCTCAAAGGATTGAAACATCTACAAAGAAACCTAATTGCTCAGTGAGCTTAGCGTCCACATCCGCCAGGCTTGATGCTGTCTCTTGGAGCTGGTGTCATACCTCTTAAAAAAAAAAAAAAAACAGTCTTCGATCTGCATACCAGTGATTGGATGGATCTTTCAGGGTGCAAAGTTCTTTAACATCCAAAAGCATTTCCTAACATTTCTGTCCAGTCATTGTTGTCACAAAGACTTTATTAGGACTTATCTAAAGCGAGATAATCTTCCGGCTGGTGTTTTTGTGTGCGGCAAATGCTTATCAATAGATTGATAGCAGAGTTAGCTCTCATAATGAGGCAAAACGAGGATAAAAAGACGATTTCTGATCTCATCGCGCACTTATAATATCTTATCACCGCCACTGTACTTGCTGTCCAGTATTTTGCCCAGAAATCTTTTTTTTTTTTATTTTCTGCAGGAGAGATTAAAACGGCATTAAGCAGTAATCTTAAATAATCCCAAACTCTCACACAGAAAAAAGTGCTTGTAATGATGGTACAAGCCATTTCGTAGTCTGCCACCGCTGTCAATCAACCTCAACCGGTTCAGGAATATTAGTGTGCAGGCTCGTTAATTCAGCAGCGGGAAGCTAGATTTGCAATCTGTGAGGCATTCAGCCGAGGTCTCAAAGATCTGTGAGGCTTAGGCAAGACAAAACACTTGTGTCAGATTGAGGGATAGTTGTGATTAAGAAAGTTCACGTTTTCTTCATTAGGTTTTGATCAGTGTCTTAAGCATCTGGAGTTGACTTTCATTCCTTTTGTGCTTCTGTCACTGCTGATATTGACCTTGGATGCTGGTACAGATCCTTATATCTCTACTAATACCAGGATTACAGCATTTATCAGTTGAAACTTAACAGCCTTGAACCTCAATCACAACACTGGAGGTGCTTTATTTAGTGTGTTTGCAAATTAACATATTTAAGATGGCCATAAATTTGTAATTGTGCACCAAGGGATTGTGCAAAAGTATGGGGTCGGTAAGATGGTTTTAAGAAAGATCTTACGCTCGCCAAGGCTTTATTTATTTGATCAAACATACAATAAAAACGGTTATATTGTCAAATATATTATTACAATTTAATATAGCTGTTTTCTATAATATATTTTGATATGTAATTTATTCCTGTAATGGCAAAGCTACATTTTCAACATCATTACTCCAGTCTTCAGTGTCACATGATCCTTCAGAAATCATTCTAATATGCTGATTTGGTGCACCAGAAACATTTTTTGTTGTTATTATTATTATTATTATTAATGTGGAGAACAGTTGTGCTCGTGATACTCGAAGGATTCTCTGATGGTTAGAAAGTTCAGCATCTGTTTGAAGCAAAAAAAAAAAGAAAATTGTAGCATCACTGTAAAACAATATTGTTGGTTTAACTTAAACAAATGAAGTAACCTGGTTGCCTTAAAATTTTAAGTTCATTGAAATTGAAAAATTGAGTTAATACAATGAAGGAGATTGATTTAATCATCAGAAACTCAAAATATTATGTTATCTGAACCACATAAATTATTAAGTTGATTTGACAACAGAAACAAAATGTTGTGATTACAAATCATGAATACATATATATATATATATATATATATATATATATATATATATATATATATATATATATTTTTTTTTTTTTTACGGTGTACTGCCACAAAAAAAAAAAGAAACTACTTTTGACTGGTAGTTTCAAGAAATATTTCATATTACTGTGATTTATGTCAACAAGTGAGTAAAAAGAACTAAGAATCGACTTCACTAGACATTCTCATCACGGTGTTGTTCAGCAGTTTGACACTCTCAGCCTTTCCGGTTCATTTAAAAGGGTTATGAACCAAGGGAGACATGCATTTTTCACTTTCAAAGCTCCCACAAAAATAAATCAGTTTTTATACGCACATATGAAACTCTAGTGCTTCTGAGAACACCACGTTTCTTTAAAAGAAAGACCACTAAAAGAACTGATTTTAGCCTGTTACACATTTATGCAAATCAAATCAAATTCAATACAGAATTAAAAGTATGACTGAACCCTCACAATTTCTAATTTGGCCATTTGTATAGTCAGATTAACAAATTTCAAACCAAACTCCAAACCTTACTGAATGAACAGTTAAAACATGATTGTTCAAAATATCTTCATTTGTTTTATGCAGCAGAAAGAAAGTCATAGAGGTTGGGAATGTTAGGAACCAACTTTATTATTGTTAAGAATAATTATATGACAACGTAATTTATTTATTTTTTTTGGTAAATGAAACCTTTATGTCTTACCTGTGATAAAAGACAAGTTCAAAATATTTTCATTGTACTAAACAACCCACGGAAAAAGATTATCTTCCAAAACATTCATCCTGAACACAAAGTCCTTTCTCGCACAGCCCTATCAGTTTCAGTGCAGCAGGAAACAAAAAACCATCAGACAATGGAAATCCAATTCTCATCTCATCCGTGTTTGCGTCACCTGCGTGAAAAAGACTATCAAATCCAGCAATCCTGTTACACAAATGCGACTGCACTAAGACCTTACAACTGCCTCACATTATTGACAATGGTTGCCTGACATGAGTGTTTGAGAATCAAGAGGAAACATCTGAGGCTGATTGAAATATCATATGCTGGCATGTGGCGTCAAGCTGGAGAGACAGTGGAGCTAAATCTCAAACATTGCACTCTCCTTTCACCTGACACACACTTTGAACATGAATTAAAGGGGGAAACCTTTGCTGAGGTCAGTCATGAATGAATAAATAAATTCTTCTCAAAAAAGTGGGCAGAGAATAAGCAGCAATTATGAACCAATTTGGACTGTTTGGAACAAGGCCAGGGGAGGTTATTGCAATGTTTATAGGCACTGCATAAATAGCATGTGGTTGATGTCCATACACCATCTCCTCAACTGTCCATGGAAGCGAAGATCTTTGGCCAGGCACTGTCAGATCTCGTGTCTCATGCACTCGGCACCTTTCGGGCATGTTTACTGCAGATTTTGACAGACTGACAGGCTTACAGTGAGTAGGAGAGATCTGACTCTTCAAATGGCTTGCCTAGAAGGACTGCTAAGTATCGTGCTTTTAAAAAGGACGCTTTACAGAATTGAGCTAATGAAGTGATGTTTTGTGTAATTACAGAATGTTGTTTAGATTGTCAATCACTGCGGTTCATGTAAACAGGCTTAACCTGACTGTCACAGCAGTGGGACACTCAATGCTGGACTTGTTATTAAAACATATTTGATCCAAATGACATCAAATTGCAGGATAAAGGCGTAGTGTATATTTAGCCATTGGTGAGCAATGTTTGGACAAGGTCTGTTTTTAAGAAGTGTTGACATTTTATCGTTCAAAACATTAAAAACACTTTTCACTCTGCTACTAGTTTTTATTGTTATTACACTCTAAAAAATGCTTGTTTTAACCCAATTTTGGATTAATAAAATCCAATTTATACCCAACAGCTGGCTTTTGTCCATATTTGTCCAACAACCCAGTATTTTTTAGAGTGTATTTTTTCTTCCATGGCAGTGTCACTTCCACCATATCGCAAATGATTTTTTAGTGTATTAGACTTCCAATGACATTTTAAACTCCATAAAATAAATTGGCTGACTCTTTACTAGGGTCATTTTATTACTAGGATTTTATATATCCTAAATACACACTCTAAAAAATGCTGGGTTGTTTTAACCCAAATTTGTGTCAACTGTTGCGTTAAAAACCCAATGGCTGAGTTTGTCCATATTTGACCCAAAGATGAGTTAAAACAACCCAGCATTTTTTTAGAGTGCATATAATTCAATAATATTGTCACCCTTTTTGCACAAAAATACAGTTAAATTGGGAATGATACAACACATTTTGTGGTAATTTCAGTACAAAAAGTTGAATTGAAACTAAATAGTTTAGATTATAAATGTAATTAAATGTAATAAATGAATAATACTGTATATGAGACAAGGGTAAAAAGACATTTGATAAGTAGTAAAAAGTATTTTATGCTTAAAAGTTCCTAATCTACACTTAATGTCACCTTTAAGTTGAAAACTGTTTTAATAAAAATCCACTCCTGCGACATACAGTACAAGTGTCTAAAACGATAGTTTCAAGCACGTAAATATGAATACATTTCTCGTCCACACAAAAATATTTTTCTTAAGACCAATTTGCAAGAGAGTTGAAGGAAAGGTATTTGCTTGCCCTCAAAGCTGCTTACATTTGTATTGAGCGTTAATTTCAAGTTATTCAAACAATATACTTTATATTCTGTAATAATCATGGGATGAACGGAAGGATTTGAGATTCAGACAGCAGATTACAAAGGAGATTACAGCAGCAAAATGACTCTCTCTTGCAAGAACATACGATTTACAACGCCTTAGTACAAATAGTTATTGTCAGAAAAAAACAAAGATTTTTTTTTTTTTCAATTTAAGAAGGTTTTGAACCTAATTCAAACCAACTTATAAAAACCACTGCTAGAGAAACACATTGTATAACAGTACTGTTGACACGAAACCTTGTGACATCTTCCCCTGGTCACTTTTTATGGATCATTATTATGTTATTTCTCACTTGGATTTCAATTCCGCTGTTCAGTTGTAGAAGCTTTTGTTTTGCAAATTACAACTCACTCTTTTTAATCAAATCGACTGATGGTTCAATCCTTTACGAGATTAGCCCGCTCATTTAAATTGCAATCTGGTGAATGGTGTTACAGAAACAGTATTAATTTGCCACTCATGAAACACTTTACAAAGATTTTTGTTTCTGTCGTTGTTGTTATGAATATTTTTTTAATGTGACCTATGCAGCCTAAACCATTGAATTAAACATTGTGCATGAGAAAGCATCAGGGGAATGCAGTGCATCTTCTTCCATTCCCTCAGATTTGGCTTTTGTTTTCTCTGGGAATCCAGTAGCTCTCAACCCAGACCCATCTCAGGAGTTGTGGAAATTGGAGATAATTAACCCTGCAATCTAATGCGCTTCAAAGTTGAGTTGTGTCTTTATGTAGCTTTCAAATTAATGTTTAATTTAACAGCAAAACACAAATGTTAAGTCACAAATGGCATTCTGGTCTTTGTACTGCTCTGCATAATTAAACATTAATGAAGAGTCAAAGTGAGAGCCGAGATATTCAAATTCCTCCTCATTAAACAGTGTGATTAAAAGCATTGGCTTTTATATGTTGTACTACTTTTTTTTTTTTATTCCACTCACACAAAACTTTCCACTAGTCCCAGTTTTCCAATCACTTTTCCTGACCAATAATGTCCTTACACAACTTTAAATAAATAAATATAAATGTAATATATATTATATATAAAACATATATATATTATATATATATAATATATATATATATATATATATATATATATACATAATATTATATATAACATATATATATATATATATATATATATTATATATATATATTTTACTTTTTTGCGGTTGTTATTTCACCAATGTTACAGAACATTACACGTTTAAGTTGAAAGTTTTAATGTCACATACAGTACACAGTGATGCAAAGGCAGTGAAATGTCTGTGCACTTTTTTAGTAATAAGTAAGAAGAATATTATGTAGCTAAAGTACAGAATTACAAAATAAATTTGAGTTCACGGTTAGGAGAAGAAAAAATATATACAGCGTTAAGCCCAGTACAACAATAAATCATAAATATTGCAGTATGATTTGTACAAGACTTGTTGTGTAAGCTGCCCATAACAGCATTAAATGTCCATAGAAATATGTGCGCATTATAAAAATATTGGCATTAAATCTATGGGCCCTTCTTTTCCATGGGCAGCACCACATGCAGAGATGAAACATGGCATAAATTAGGAGAGCTTGATTCTGGGAAGGTATCGGTGAATAGCAACGGATAGTTGGAAAGATGATATCATTTTTTTAGAAACGGCACAGAACTCATGACTCATCAGCTAACGCTCTCAGATAATCTTCATGAAATCAAAGACCAATGTGACGTTTGGTTTTGAAACGGCTTGATTTACATGATGAGCCATTTTGAAAGACGTAAAAAATGTGTTTCAGTTTAACTTAATCGAGCTTTGGTGTTGAATTTATTAAGGCTGGTTTGGCTTTGAAATACTATTTGAATTATTTGATACATTGCGTGCTGGGTTGTGAAACATTATCACTGTGCTGTCTTCTGAATCAAAGTGGAACGGCAATGCGTCAGAGGCTCATTTAATTTCGAATGTCGAAAGAATGTTGTCTCACATCTATAAAATATCTGTCGAATCTGCATAAAAGGGGATCACTGATACTGCACGAGCTCCATGCGTTGTTAGCAAACCATAAAGAGATGTGAAACTGTCTCTGAAAGTTTCTTATGACCTGCAGCAAAAATATCCTTCATTAAGTGGGTCTGTTTCACCGTTCAAACCGCCGATGAGGATTCCAACAAGTCACCCCACTCGAAACTATTACTGTCATGTCCGCAGGCACCCTCCAGGAAAGAAGGAGCTTCAGGACAAACATGCTCTCTCGGATGTTCCACTCTGAAGAATAGAGGGATCGCAAACACACTCTGACAAGAATTGTGCCCCTAACCATCCCCTCTGTATTCACTCCATCCCAAAGAGACTGCGTGATTCCCCCTGCCACCCTCTCTCAAAGTCAGAAAAGTCTGTTTTAAACGGGGAAACTTTGGACGTCTATGTGTAGTGACTGTATGGGGGGGAGGGGGTTTGGTGTGTTCTGTGATCCGGCCTGGTATTTTTTAGAACTGACCAATCTAAAAGGATTTAGTTTTTAGAAATATGCAGTGTCAGCTCGCTTTAAAATAACAAGTATCTCTTCTGTGCAACGGTATTTGACAATTCTGACCTTAGCGTTGGTGTTTGCTTGCATTCTTCTCGGAATGTCACTTATTCTATGCGACTGTGCCATGTGATGTTATGCCAGTCTCGAGAAATAAGTCTAATGTTTAGTCAGGTATCACACTAATAACTTGTAATCTGAAATTTCTTGTGTCTCATCTAACTTCTTCCTGTAATGTTTATTATTGATTTCTGATGGTATTTAAAAATAAATAAATAAAATATGTATTAATATATTGTATATCTATCTTATACATTACCGTTTAAAAGATTGGAGATAAGATTGGTAGGTCTCTTGTGCTCACCAAATCCGCATTTCTATCTTAAGTCTCTTATGCTCAAGAGAGGCGTTCACACAAAATTTGCCAGCTGTATTTGTTTGAATGCCTCTCTTTCAACCCTCTTTTACCAACAGATAACCACCCTAACTGGTCAGGAGTTTTTGCTGCAGGCAGATCACTTTCCAACCATCTGTAAATGGCATGATGCCCTCAAGAAAGCAGTGGACAGTCTGGTATGCCATTTCTTAAAAGACACATTTTTACTTTAACATAGTCTAATCTGGGAAGTGATTCTTTAACTATGCTTTATACGAAGGACTATATTTAAAGATTGGAATAGGTAAAAAAAAAAAAAAAAAAAAAAAGAAAAAAGGTTAATACTAATGATAAGCTTCTAACACTGGGATAAATAAGCAACATTTTGTGGATATTTCTGCATCTATCTGATGAATCTTTATTTTTATTTGATGTTTTGGTTTCGAGTGGCGCTGGAGGCAAGAGCTGTGGTAGAGTGGCCTTAAACAGATCCAACAGTACAGAATGCTTGCCCAGACCAACCTGTGAAGCCACCAAACCTAAACCAAAAGAGACCAAGTCTGATCACAGACGCTCCATCAGTGAGTAACACGTGTGTGTGTGTGTGTGAGTGTGTGAGAGAGGTGATAACTGGCGATCAGTACAGAGAGTTCAGAAACAGTGAGTGTGTCTGGGTTGCTGCCTTGCTTCACCACTGTTTAATATTCACATTAATGAGTTAGCAGTACAGTACAGTCTGTTCACAGACTTTATTTCCAAAAGAAATGAAGGTCATATTTTACCCCAAAATCCAAAGAACATTTTTTTTTTAATTGAATAAAATGGACCCTGTTTTAGGATCAGGATTGTTTTGCATTGTAACTTTTTTTTTTTACCTTTTTTTTCATGACAATTAAAGTCACTTGAAAAAAAAAAATGCTTATAATTTACTCACCCACATGTCATCCAAGATGTCCATGTCTTTCTTTCTTCAATCGAAAAGAAATTAAGGTTTTGATGAAAACATTCCAGGATTTTCTCCAT